TATATATATATATATATATATATTTATTTATTTATTTATTTATTTTTTCCTGCTTCATTTTCTTCATACATGTCACTCGTCCAGAGTGTGTAAATGTTAAAAGTTAGTGTTTCAGTGTAAACGGAGCTGTGTCACGTGACCTGTGTGTCACATGACCTGGTCAGGTAATCTGGGTTTACACCTCCACTGTGTGTAACTTCTGACTCACCCGGAGGAGGATTAATGGCGTCTGCTGGTTCCACCGGAGACGACTCCTAGATGTTGTTGTTGAATGGCTGTGGGAGGCGACCTCTGACCCCGGCCACCCCCACCTCCTGCTGCCGGACCATGGGAGCCCTATGCTGGGTGCTGCCGCCGGAGGAGGACGAGGAGGTGCTGGAGCAGCAGCAGGAGGAGGAGGAGGAGGAGGAGGTGGTGGTGGTGGTGGTGGAGGCGGCGTGCTGCCTGAGCTGCCGGCAGCCGGCCGACAGCCTCGTCCTGCTGGTAAAACTCTAGTACTGTACTGTAGTACTAGAATGAGGTACTTGTACTTACCTTGAGTATTTTCATGTCCTGTTAACTTGTACTTCTCCACTAAACCCCACGGGGGAATATTTCACTTTTTATCTAATCTTTTTAACTGATACTACTGCAGTACTACTACTGCAACAAATACAGCAGTAGTACATCAATAATACTGGAACTGATACTACTGGAACTAATACTACTGCAGTAGTACTACTGCAACAAATACAGCAATAGTACATCAATACTACTGGAACTGATACTACTGTAACTAATACTACTGTAGTAGTACTACAGTAATACTACTCTTACTGTAACATTCGTACTGCTGTTGTTAGTACTGCTAGTAGTATTTATATTACTCTTCCAGTACTGCCTCAGTCACATGTTATTTGAATGTTTTTCTTGTTTCCATGATGGTTTTTATTTGTGTACAAATTCACAATGTGACTCTGAACGTAAAAATAAAACATGAGAATTGTACTTCATGATTAGTTTCGTGGTGCGTTCAGGGAACCCTCTTCACAGTCGTACGTGTCGATGTTGAATGTTTCCTGTGGTTTGACGTGTTTCTTCTGATGTACTTTAAAGGGTAGAAGTACATGTTGTTTCTTTATACATGTGAATGAACTGTGGTTCTCTTTGTCCTCAGAACGTGGAGCGGGTTCACGCCCTCTACCAAACCTTCCCAGAAGGCCGAGCGGCGGAGGCTGATGTTCCCAGGAACCCGTACGGCCGAGACGCCGTCCTGCAGCCGCCAAGCCCCGCCCACCTGAGTGTGTGTCAGCGGCAGCGTAAAGTCATCCAGGAACTGGTCGAAACGGAGAAGTCCTA